ACAGATGCACCCCTATGTTTATCGCAGCACTATTTACAATAGCCAAGAAATGAAAGCAACCTACGTATCCATCTAGATGAATAGATAAAGATGTGGTACATATACACAATGGAATATTATTCAGCCATAAGAAGAAAACAAATCCTACCATTTGCAACAACATGGATGGAGTTAGAGGGTATTATGCTCAGTGACATAAGCCAAGTGGAGAGAGAGAATTACCAAATGATTTCACTCATTTGTGGAATATAAGAACAAAGAAAAACTGAAGGAACAAAACAGCAGCAGAATCACAGAACCCAAGAATGGACTAACAGTTACCAAAGGGAAAGAGACTGGGGAGAAGGGGAAGGTAGGGAGGCATAAGGGCGGGGAAAAGAAAGGGGGCATTACGATTAGCATGTATAATGTAGGCGTGGCGGCAAGGGGAGGTCCGTGCAACACAGAGAAGACAAGTAGTGATTTTGTAACATCTTACTATGCTGATGGACAGTGACTGTAATGGGGTTTGTGGGGGGTACTTGGTGAAGTGGAGAGCCTAGTAAACATAATGTTCTTCATGTAATTGTGGATTAATGATAACAAAACAAAAAGATTTCTGAGAGTTAATTAAAGGAACATTTAAATTACCTTGCTCCCATCCTTCCTAAGCTATATGCATATATTTTCTATTTTGAATTGGATGGTATTTGTTACTCAGCCTCAATTGTTACTTTTTTTTTTTAGTGGCAGTTTTATTTTTTATCACAATCTTAGAGTTCCCTTGAATCATGTTTGAAAACAGAAGTTATGCTGTCTGGAAAGTCACTACTGGGGTTTCCTAGATGCTTAGTGGAATTGCAGCCAACTGCGTAGCTTCTAGGTAGGCCATAAGCTAAGACAAAGAAATTCTAAAACCCCAAAGAACCAAGTCCTCCTGAAATAAGAGGACCTGAGATAAATAGATGTACAGCCTCACCTTGCCTTTTTCCATGCATTAAGTTGTGCAAGGTCCAAAATCATAAAGAGAAAAAATTTTCTCAAGATTCTTGCCTAGTCATATTTTGATCACCCTTTTGACATGACTGATTTTTTAGTCCATATCTGGGTGATTTTTTTTCTAATTTACATTTTAAAGGATAACCTGCATTAGTGGATATTTTTTCCCTGATTATACAGTAAAGCAAGGTGTTTTGAATTCCAAATTCTTACAGTACATATAGAACATATAGTAAAATACAATACATATAGCTAACAGTTCTATTCTCCTTGGCTTATATAACTTGGCTTATAATTTAAGAATTCTTTAGTTCTATAAAACTTTTGTTTTCTGATTTTAATTACTAATTTTAGTTGCTAAGTTCATTAAGAAGCCTAGAATATTAGATAGTGTACATGCATTTACCATAGGAATGGTTCATTGTGATACAATGAAATTAGATTTTGGTTTGTTAAAGTAGTAGTAGGCTCTTGAAAAAAATTAATTATCCTAATAACATTTATTTTCATATTTTATGATATCCACATTTTAGGAAATTATAAAACATAACTAAATAAGAATAACAAAACCTGTCAGTGTTTATTTTGTTCTTCTTTATTGTGCCTCTTGAAATTGGGGATGGAGTCTAAGCAATGTAATTATAACAGAAGAGGGTAATAATTAACAGAAAATGAATGCTGTTGGTGGTCTCTAGATGATGTGCTCTGAGAGATATTGTATATGTTCTGGAAAAACTAAAGCACAGCTAAGGGACCAAAGTTAATATTCAAATGGACAAGACTAGGATAGAACTGACATTAAGATATAGGAGAAAGACTGAAAACTTTGCAAACAAGTTCAATCTTAGTGCTTTTATTTATTAGCCAGGTGACCTCAGCTCAATTATTTAATCTTACTGTCTCGATTCAATGAATACATAACGTGCCAAGGATTAAATGAGATAATGTATGTAAACTACTACATAGGATACACCAGGCGAGTACTGAATGGCTGGTTTTACAAACAGAAATTTTTTATGTGCATGCATATAGTTTTAAGTAGTTCTAAAATTTGGTAAGAGAGTAAAAGAAGGTAATATACCACAGCTGATCCCAAACCAAGCATTCAGATTCTATACAACAAAAAAGTTATTTTCATGAATATTATATTAGGGTTTGTACATACACTGTATCAGGGAAGCACATCCAATGCTAACTCTATGCTCATACAAGAACTAGAATTTGATCACCTGCGTAGATTAACCAACTTGGAAAACTTGTTTTGACAGAGTGACTGGCTGTACGTAGTTTTCATGTAAGATAGAAGAACCATTCTAATGTAACCTTTGGATATCGTAGGTTTCAACTCAATTCAGTTAACCGAAGTGACCTGGTAAGTCATTCTGCTGGGTCAGACCTTGCCCTTGAGAATGTTCCGCCAAGGGTTTGGATTATTTATGTCAGTCCTGTACATTTAGCCCACAGCAGGAGATATTCTGCTCTGTGTTTTCCCATTTTCTTGTTCTCTTGATTTTCATGCAAATTGAGGGCCCTTTCTCAATCTTAATTAAATAATCAAAATTAAATAATCTGGTTCAATTAATTTTTGTTATCTTACTGAAAAAAATTGAGTTGAAGAATTTTAGAACTCAAATCTGAGGCACTGGCTTTGAGTCTGAAGTTGAAACCATATGCAGATTTTAATACTTGTTTTGGGAAAACAAGCAAACAGGATTTTCAAGTCATGTACTGTAGGTTTCTCATGCACATAATGAACATTAGCAGAAACCTTTCTATTATGACATTTTAAAACCACACCATTGTCAAGTTTGAGTTTCTGAATGGTATTTTTGTAGGAGCCATGCATGTTCCCTAGACGACTTACGTAACTTTTCATGACATCCTTGAGTGAGACAGGAATGGGTGGA